TCCTGTTAGCAATGTGGTCCTGTTAGCAGTGTGGTCCTGTTAGCAGCATGATCCTGTTAGCAAAGTGGTCCTGTTAGCACCATGATCCTGTTAGCAGTGTGGTGCTGTTAGCATTGAGATTCTTTTAGCAGTGTGGTCCTTTTAAACTTTGTGATGCAGATTAAATGTTGAACACTTCTGGTTTGAACACCAAAGTTTTTCTTTCAGTTTTAACACTAAGCCACTAAAATACTACAGAATGCTAAGGTCCTAAATGTTCTAATGTAAGTTTTGGGCTCAGAGACCTCCAGTGGTGCGTTTTAGGATGAAGCTTTGATGTGCAGATATCCAGACATGACAGAGAAACCCCTCAACAGACGTCTTATTGTCTCAGCCTCACATTTACTTCCTGTCTGGGTTCAACTCCGTGACCCTGAAAGAGATGATTAAACCATGATGTCACCACAGCGTTGGAGAAAGTTCTCTGCTGTCTGGACTTGGTCCTCAGAGGTAACCGTTCAAACATCTGCCTTTGTTTCCAGCTCCCGCTCTTAACATCGAGGCCAGGCAAGTCCGTCGAGCCTTGGGCGGCGGAGACACGTTTGAAATGAGCTGCGCAGTGACCCCCGTGAACCTCGGCGGCTGGTTGGGCTTCAAAGTGGACGTCAACTTGCAGGAAGGCTTGCAGAGCAACGCGAGGACGGTCATGTCTCTGAGCTCTGACAACGTGGTGCAGCACACGGACCCCAGCAGGAGGTGCGCATCTGCTCTCTCACCATCATACTGTCTTAGATACTGTACTACACATTATACTGTCTTATATACTGTACTACACATTATACTGTCTTATATACTGTACTACACATTATACTGTCTTGTATACTGTACTACACATTATACTGTCTTATATACTGTACTACACATTATACTGTCTTAGATACTGTACTACACATTATACTGTCTTATATACTGTACTACACATTATACTGTCTTATATACTGTACTACACATTATACTGTCTTAGATACTGTACTACACATTATACTGTCTTATATACTGTACTACACATTATACTGTCTTAGATACTGTACTACACATTATACTGTCTTAGATACTGTACTACACATTATACTGTCTTATATACTGTACTACACATTATACTGTCTTAGATACTGTACTACACATTA